GATTGACCAAATTGATAATCAATGGATGACTCAGGAAATCCATTCGGGCTCTTGCTCCCTATGAATAAATAATTTAGAAAGGAATTAGCATCCAATTAAGGGAGATGGACATCTCATCAGAAGCAAATCGACAGACATATATAGCTGAGCTGAGCTGAGTTGCGCATTAGAAACTAATCAATTGATAATTGAAACTCGAAGAGGCAAAAGGAAACGCTGGAACATACCCATATTTAATATCTACCCAAGGGTTGCCGCTGTGAATAATCAAAAAAGGAATTAGCGAGACAGACATCTTCTAAGCAAATCAATGAAGATTAGATAATTAAGCAAATCAACGGAGATTAACACTTGGATTCATTCAGAAACATTTATTTATGAAATACAAGTGAGAGAGAAGGAATGGAATGCAAGTGATGGAAAAAGGGAAAGTGATGAGACTTACCCTGTTTTGGATTTGAGGAAAGGTAAGAGAACAGTCTTATCGTCAGGATTCTCCCACTCCAACGATTCCCACCATTCTTTTGGATTTTCAATAGATATATATTTGACAGCAGGAAGAGTTGGTTGCGCGTTTTCCCTTCCAAGACAAAGAGGAATCCTCTTTACCTTCGGACAGGAAGATATTTTGATGCTATTGAGAGATTCACAAACCATTACTCCTCTTTCGGGGCAGATTCTCTTCAATTTTGATAGGTATTCCAACTCCAATTTCCTTAACTTTGGAAGAGTGATCAATATTGGAGTAGTTGTTTGATTTCCTTCCTCTTCTTCTTCCCATCCTATTATTTCCTCCATCTCGCAACAATTATTCACGTCAATCAGCTCCAAGTTTTGGAGGCCTTGACCTTGCAGCAGCTCACATGGAAAAAGCTTCTTCAATTTTAAACAATAGGATACCCTCAGCTGTTTAAGATTGGAAAAGAAGAGATTGGATATTGTTGATGCAAGCGATGCTCTTGTTGTTTCTACTTTCACAACATCCCGCAAGCCAATCAAACCCTTAAGAGTTAGTACTTCAAGGTTATTCATAACTGTCGAGGAAGTAGATGAAGATGATGACAAAGAGACCACACACCCTATCCCTTGGCAGTCTTCCAAAGCACATGTTCGCAATTGAGTAAAATTTTTCTGAAAAATAGAAATATCACTAGCCATATTGCACTTTTCAATCCTCAAATCCTGAAGGTCATCTGGAAGGAGCAACTCATCTACTCCTATCTCGCATCTGAATATAATTACCCATTTAGGCTCTCCCTCATCTGTGTTGAACTTCCGAAAAAACCCCGCCTCTTCTTCGTCTGTGTCTGGATCATCATTATTGTCGAACTCCCGAAAAACCCCCGCCTCTTCTTCGTCTGTGTCTGGATCATCATTATTGTCGAACTTCCCAAAAAGCCCCGCCTCTTCTTTGTCTGTGTCTGGAAGATCATTATTGTTTAACTTCCAAAAATGCCCCGCTGTGCCTCGCACTTCGATAAAGTAATGACTGGGTCTTCTAAAATGGTTCAAGTTGCTAACAAAACTGCTGTAGTCTTTCAGCCAATCAAATCTACCTTCAAACCATTCCAGCATCTTCAATCCTGCTACTTCTTCTCCTCTTATTTCAGTTGGAAAAATCCGATGTTTACGTAGGTATTGGAGGCGGAAGAGCTTACTGATTTTTTCTCTAGGTGGCCTCCTCAGGTTTGGACAAAATAAATCAAGATATTCCAGATTTTCTAACATTTCAATGCCTTCAGGAGCCTCACAAAGGCCTACTTCAGCCAAATCCAGCTTCTTCAATGCTTTAAGCTTTGACAAGGAAGGCATGCATTTTAAACTCCTACATCCACAAAGGATCAGTGTAGTTAGATATTCCAAGTTACATATGGAATTAGGTAGAACCTCAATGCCAGTATTAGAAAGATCAAGAAACTTCAACAGGGGCATGTTAGCAAAAAACCACTCTGAAATTTGTCTCAATCCGTAATTACCCTCCAAAATCAAGGTTGAGAGCATCAAGCATTTGGGGGACATATTTTTAGGGATATGTGATATTTCATTTTTCATGAGGGAGACCTTGTCTAGATCTTCATTCCATTCATCCTCATCCGGTATCTCTTCCAATCTCATTCCAGCTTTTACCATAAACCTGCCAGGACCCGTGCTCTTGATGCGCAATGCCATGTCCCTCACAACATCATGCATCTTAACACACGCCTCTTTATTGGCTTCCTCTAACAAACAACAGTTTAAAAGCCTATTTAAAATAGCATTTCCTTTATCATGCATTTCTCTTCTGCTTCCTAATTTTTGAACAGTTCCCTCACAAATCCAGTTTTCAATTAGATCTTGTCTTCTAATATTCCAATCTTCCGGATACAATGAGCAATATAAGAAACACTCTTGGATGCTTGAATTTTTTGGTAGACGGTCATAACTGAACTTCAAACGATTAAATATCTCATCTTCTGAATCTTTCTCTGTGTCCACCACACACTGACGCAATTCACGTAATGCATCTCTCCACTCAGAAATATCTTGTACTCCTCTCATGCTCCCCGCAATGACAACAATGGCCAATGGCAAACCAGCGCATTCAGCCACCATAAGCTTCAAAATCTGTTCCAAATTGGGAATTTGTAGAACATCTTGCCCAACCTTATCTAAAAACAAGTTCAAAGACTCTAGCTCTGGTAGAGGTGGCACTTTAACTACCTGACATCTCAAGTAGTTGCATACATCAATCGATCTGCTA